AACAGATTGCTGTTTCTTCAGCTGAGCACCAGATGAAGTAGTTGGCTTGCGTTTAGGGGCCATGTTGTACGAAAAATACGTATCTTTAAACACTAGAATCACACTCAGCGTGGCGAGATGCTCACACTATGAGAGGCACACGGGAACTGAGACTGACTGAGGGAACAGCAGATTCACGTCTCCCATCTCATGCTCACTCCGGGGCATACGCTCATTGAGTGGAATGGTGGGCGGAACCGCCCGCACTATTTACAGGCATCTTGTTATTTTTCTTTTTTTTTGCTGAGCCCGTATAGTTGAATTCGCATAAATTAAATGCGCGGATGATGCAACTCACCTGTACTAGTGACAAGGGGTGGAAAAAGCGCTGACTGATCCTAGAGAAGAAGCTGTGACAGAGGAGAGATTGACAAAGGGTGAGACAGTTTATGCTCATAAACCACACCTGGTTGGAAAATAAGGCTCCCAGTCCATGTTGAAACGTTACGTTTCTTTAATGAAAGCATGTCATTTCCATAATCCTGCATCTTGGCCAGGGGTTAGACAGGAGGCCCCTTGCGGTGACTTCTAAGCCTCTGATACTACAATACTGTGATAATGTCAAAAACCTTTAACGCCAAGTGTGTACATAACAGAGGCACCCAAAAGAGGACAGGTGTTTAGAAATGTGTCACCTTTTCTAGCACACTCAGCGGAAGAGGGCTCAGGGAACAAACCAGAATCTTTAGCCTGCTTCTTTGAACATTAATCTGATCCTGAATAAGTAATGTACGATGTACTATGTTAAAGTTTTATTGTAACTTTGCCTTAATAAAATGTTTCAGAAAAGCAAAAACAAATGTTTCATGTCAGCATTGTCATTTTGAGTAATTGAGTTTTGACTTTGATATTACATTAAACTATGAAATCTAAGATCCTGGGGGAAACTTTCTAACTCTAAGCAGAGTTTAGCACTGGAAGAGGTTACCTGGGATGGTGGTGAAATCTTCATCATTGGAGGTGTTTAAGAACAGGTTACAGAATAGCAACCGTGTTAGTCTGTATTCGCGAAAAGAACAAGAGGACTTGTGGCGCCTTAGAGACTAACCAATTTATTTGAGCATAAGCTTTCGTGAGCTACAGCTCACTTCATCAGATGTTCTTTTTAAGAACAGGTTAGACATTCACCTGTCTGGGATGGTCTAAATGTACCAAATGCTGCCTCAGCGCGGGGCAGGGACTTCACTAAATGATCTTTCAAGGTCCCTTCCATCCCTACATTTCTATGATTTTATGGATAGCATAGAATACAGGGGGATGGGTAGGTGGGTGGATGGATGAATGAATGGATGAGTGGGTGGAGGAGTGATAGGGTGGGCGGATAGATGGATCCTGCATGGACATGATGTAGAAATAGTTTGGTCACATTTGAGATCTCTTCCATCCCAACAGTTCTGTGGTTGTATCGACTATATAGAATATAGAATATTAAATATATTATTAAAATTAATATTTTAATGTCACATAAAGGCCTAGAAGAAATCAATCAAAATGATCGAGTCAAAACAAATATTAGAACCTTATTGAAAAGAATTGTTTTCACATCACCAAAACAAGACGATCATTTTGGCTTTTTCCCATCAAAAATATCAAAATTGACACTGACAATTCGGCAGATAACGGATTCTTCTGTTCACTGGCAATTTTGGAACAAAAAAATCATTTGGGGTCAACCAAAACATTTTGTTTGACCTGCAACTAAACATTTCATTTGGACGTTGAATATTTATAAACATTTTAATTTTTTTAAAATAAAAGTTAAAGGATATTTCTAAACAAAAAGTCATTGGGAAGTGAAAACTGGGAAATGTTTTGTTTGGAAATTTTTGAAACAAAATATTTTGATTTTTTTGGAGTATTATTTTTTCAGCTAAACAATTCAGCAAAACTGACATGACAGTCTTCCATGAAATGGTAGCCAGTTACTGCTGGTGGACCTGCAGGTGGCCAATAAATCCAATCTGGGATCCACGGATTCCACCACAGTGGGGCAGACGGTTCCCAGTGGAAGCGGCGGATCTGGATTATTGAGTCGGGCCGCACGGCATTCTTTCCTCCTTTCCCATTTCTCCATTTCCTGTTGTCTTCCTTGGGTCTCATAACGGTGGGATCCTTCCCACAAGGTCCTTCTCCATTTCAGTCGGTGAAGGGCTTGGGTTTCCCATAACCCCTCAATGGCAGAGCAGGCGGACGAAGAGACAATTTCTCTCAATTTCGATGATGGCAGATGAAGGGTATAGTAGGATGGCAATCTCCTCTCACCTCGGTTTCCTGGCATTTGGATGAAGACCCTCATTCTGCCAAGCACCGCATGGACCCTGGTGTGCAAGGGCATCTCCATGCAGGGGCACTGGAACAGGCAGGGCCAAGGGGCCATGGCCCTCCCAGTTTTTACTGCCATTGTGGGGCATTTTCCTGGTTTATACAGGTCCCCGGTGAGATGGGCTAGTGAAAGAATCTGAGTCCTCGCTCCCACTTCCTTTCCCCAGAGGCCTGCCTGACCTCCAGGGCTCCCCTTCCATCTCCTGTGTGGCAGAGTCCTCATAACCCCAACAGGGCTGGGCCCAGGATTCCTGGGGGGGCTCCACCCCCAACCTTGTCGTGGTCACTTAGGGAGGGGCCAGGGTGTCCCCACTCTGGGGTGCTCTCTGCACACTGGTGCTTCCCTGACCCCCTGATCATTACATACAGGTCAAATCAAAGACTATTTATTACACAGCAACCAATTAAAAAAATTAAGGGAAAAATGGGAAAGGTGAAAGGAAAACCCGTCACGCCGCTCTGTGGCACGGGGACGTCACAGCCAGCCTCTCTGGGATGTCAGGGCAGTTCAGCCTGTTCCTCACACATCCCAGGCCTCCTGCCCAGGCCCTGGCTGTGCTGATGCTGTGGGTCGGACACTTGCTCTGGCGGTGGCCACACACCCTCAGGCTCTGGGTGGCAGGACCCTTCTGCCCAGTGTCAACCCCCCCGTCGAGGTTACGATCCCCCTCCCAGTCTGGCCTGCCAGACCTCTTGACTGGGGGCGTCTCCCTGTGCTGGGCCCACTGCCCAGGGTCCCCCTCACGCTCCCCAGCTGCTCATTGCACCTGGCTCCAGACGGCTCCAGCTCCACAATGCCTCAGCTCGACTCTGCCTCAGCACGGCTACTGCTGCTGCTCTGCCGCCAGCCTCCTGGGCTGCTTTTCTGGCCCCTCTGGCTCCGGTTCCTGCACCTCTCTTCCCAGCACTGACCTGCTCCCTGGGCTGCTTCTCTGCTTCTCTGGCCGGCGCGGCCCTGCTCCCCAGCTCAGCTAGGGCCTTTGTCTCTCCGCTTAGCTCAGCCCCACTCTGTCTGACCCAGGCAATTCCAGCTCACAGGGAGGATGGGACCCTCCTGACTCCCTCATTGGCCTGTCAATCTCAGGGTCCTGATTTCGATCAACCCTTCCCCTTCCTTTTAGTCCTGGGAGCTAGCCAACCAAAATCCCCACCGAGTTTTAGTAAGGGGCCAACAGTCCCCTTACACCAGGAAGAGGAAGAGGAAGAGGATGAAGAAGGGACACGCTCCATAACAGGGTGGAAGGTTCAGGGAGTCGCTTTCGGCAATGGAGAAGGTGCCGTTCCAAGGGCTAATTCCTGTCAGGATCCCCAGCACAGGACAGAGTCAGGAACAAAGCCTTGTTCCTGCAACTCCCCCAGATAAAACGTACTGGAGCATGAGGGCGGAGGGAGTTGCCTGCATGCTGACATGTGGGGCAGCTCCCAAGATATGGCAATCACATTGACTCACAGGGACAGCCCATTTCCCCAGCATAAAAATGGCCCATCCCAAAGGATCCTTACTTTTGTCCAAGACACAACCGCCGGAGCCTCTTCTGCTCCCGAGGGCCCTCACACCAGGAGCTACAGGTGAAGCAGGGCCAGTCCAGCCTCTGTTGTTGGGATGTCTTGTTGGGGGGCGAGTCATGGTGGTGGGGTGAAAAGGAGATAGCTGTGGTTTGGGGAGCAACATAGTGTGGAGGACTGGGACATCATGCTGTTATGGGGGTAATTATGGGCTGCCAGGGGGCATTGCTCCATTTTGGGGATGTTGATGGGAGGGAGTTAGGGCTCTGCTCTGTTATTGGGGGTGATTATGAGGTACGAGGAGGTATTGCTCTTTTATTGGGGAGATTACGGGCTGGAATGGGGAAATTAATGAAGACGTTTGGTGGTTTGGCTGCTCAGCTGGTACTTGGAAGACATGGCTTCTAATCTCTGTTCTGCTGCTGCATCTCTGAAGAACCTTGGCCCAATCACTTATCCGCTCTATGCCTCACTTTCCCCATATGTACAATGGGGATCATAGTCCTGCCCTGCCTCACCAAGGAGCTGTGTGGATAAATAGGTCAAAGATTGGGAGGTGCTCAGATACTACCATAATGAGGGCAGATAACGCTTTAGTTAATTTCTCTGTTATTAAGCTGGTCATGGGGGTTTCGCCTTCCTCTGTTATTGGGGTGACATGTTAGAAGAGAAACTAGTGGGAGAGGGGTGAGCTCAATCCAGCTCATGGAAATTTTTGTCATGTGGGTTGAGTTTAGTTCCCTCCCTTCCTCCCCTCCTCAGATCAGATCTTTCCATGGAACATGCCCCTGGGGGTGACTGGGACCGGGCAAAAGTGGAAGATGGAGCTGAGTTGGGGGAGACTGGGCCCCCATTGCCAACAGACGATCACAGTGCATTTCCCCTCCCCATGTCGGGCAGTGCTGTCATCTCCTGGTACAAGCAGGGTAGTGGAGTTTCAGAGAAACCACTTGCTTTTGAGATCCTGTGGAAGAACAGGAACTCAAGCCTGGCGTTTCTGAATCCTAAGGGCGCACTTTCCCCGCGAGGCATCTGTCTTCCTCTAGACGCCCGTGGCCAACGATTCCCTTTTGATCTCTTTACCTGCAGTAAAGCCAGTGACTCTGACGACCGTATCCATTGCCACAACCGACATGGAGCTGCTGATCATCGCAATGCTGGTAGTCGGGGCAGCCGCAGGTAGGAAGAAGAGTCAAGCGAGAAGCCACAGTTGGGTTGGGTGAGAAGGTTCTGCAGTTTCACTGCAGGCCCTTCCAGGAATGTCTCAGAGACTTTGCTTAATACAGGTTGCTGCTTATGAAAATCCAAGTTCCCAGCAGTCCTGTTATCAATTTCATGGGTTGCGAAAGGGAATTAATATGTTCAGGCCTCGTCTCTGATTATTCTTTATTGTTTGTAGTTCAGGCAGGTAGCCATGAGTTCACAATCTGTTTTCATCCCAAATCAGGAGAGAAGGAAAGAATTTTGAAATTTCCCACAATAGAAAATGGTTTTTGGGGAAACAAATAAATCTGTTTCACTCAGATTTCGATGTCTTTAAATTTAAAGCATATGTAAAAATATATAACTTTTAGAGAGCATCATTTCTAATATAATGTTAATTCTTTTAAGAAAAATGTGGAAACAAAAATTATTTAAGAAAAGAAAAACAAATCAAAATGGCCCTTTCTGATAATGTTCAGTGCTCTGGTCAGACTGCCAATCTCATGAAGCAGCATGCACCACTTGGTGAGGAGAAGTTTATGCCTCCTGGAAGCTTCTGGTTGTGAGGCATCATGGGAGATGTAGTTTGATTGTGGAGCCCAGTCCATTCAGGAGACGGCTTTGTTTTAAACTTTTTTTAAAGAATTTGCATCACAACCAACACATTCCCACAGAAATTATCAACTTTGACAAAATGGCATTTTCCTATTGGAAAACGTTCCATCTGAAAAAGTTTGACAATTTTAAATATTTTGTGACAGGGTGAGGCCAGATGGCTACAGGAAAGTAGTGGAAGGTAGATACATTACCCCCAGATTAAGCAGGTCCCTTTTCCCTGGGTAAAATAACAGGGACTATTCCAGAACAATCAGGAACCTGCTAGAACCAGTTAAGGCAGGCAGGCTAATTAGGACATCTGTAGCCAATTAGGAAGCTACTAGAACCAGTTAAGGCAAGTAGGCTAATCAGGGCACCTGGTTGAAAGAAAGACCTCTTTTCAGTTAGGGAGAGGCGGGTAAGGAGTTGGGAGTGGGAGGAAATGCTGCTGGAGGACTAAGGAATGCAAATGCCATCAGGCATCAGGAAGAAGGTCCTGCAGTGAGGACAAAGATGGTGCTGGGGGAGGTCATGGGGAAGTGGCCCAGGGAGTTGTAGTTGTCACATAGCTGTTACAGGAGACATTGTAGACAGCTGTGATCCTCAGGGCCCTGGGCTGGAACCCGGAATAGAGGGCGGGCCCAGGTTCCCCCCAGGCCCCTCCCCCCACTCCCTATTTGACACAAGAGGAGTTGACCTGGACTGTGAGTCATATCAGAGGGGAAGGTCTCTGGCCTGTCCCCGACCAACCTGAGGGCTGCCATGACCCTTTGAGGTGAGCAAATCAGCCGGAAAGTGCAGGACCCACCAAGGCAGAGGAGGAACATTGTCACAATTTCTATTGCGGTCATAGGTGCCAACTCCGTGGGTTCTCTGGGGCTGGAGCATCCACAGGGAAAAATTAGCAGGTGCTCCGGACCCACCGGCAGCCAAACTCCCCCCTCCTCGCCTCCTTCTCCCAAGCCAAGCACACCGTGTCCCTGCTTCTCCCCCTCCCTCCCAGTGCTTCCCGCCCCCGCCCCACTACCTAACAGCTGTTTGGCGGCACTTAGGACTTTCCAGGAAGGAGGGGGAGCAGTGGAAATGCGGTGCACTCAGGGGAGGAAACAGAGAAAAGGCAGGGCAGGGGCAGGGACTTGGGAGAAGGGGGTGGAATGGGGGTGGGAAGGGGACGGGGACTTTGGGGAAGGGGTGGAATAGGGGCGGGGCCAGGGGCAGTGTTGGGGGTCGAGCACACACTGGGCAGAGGAGAAGTTGGTGCCTATGATTGCGGTAAAGCCTAGAAACAGCAGTCACTGACCAACCCCTGCTCTCCTGAACATGTGTAAATTGTGTTTTCCAGAGGTTTATAATTTGACCAAATCTAGGTGAATTTTCATATGAACAGCAAAAGGCACCTCCCTGACTCCAGGGCTATTTCCTTGCAAAATTTCAAGTCCCTGCTGCCAAGGCGTTAGAGCACTTTAAAAAGTGGTTGGAAAATTGTTTGAACATTAAAAAATGAAGGGTCTTCCTGTCCAGTCCCTGCTACCATGAGCAACTCTGTAGCAGAAATGTATTGAGCTCTATCTTCAAACTCAGGAGGCTTTCATAGAATATCAGGGTTGGAAGGGACCTCAGGAGGTCATCTAGACCAACCCCCTGCTCAAAGCAGGATCAATCCCTAATTTTCCCCCCAGATCCCTAAATGGCCCCCTCAAGGATTGAATTCACAACTGTGGCTTTAGCAAGCTAATACTCAAACCACTGAGCTATCCCTCCCCCCATATCCCGGCCCCCCTGCTCCTGTTCCACAACTTACTTCCTTTGATGGTTAGTAACCGTCTTCTAATCTCAGCCTAGATTTATCCATGGTGCTTGTCCCCATTTGTTCTTGTGCCAACGCTGGTCTCCACCTCCTGTAGATCTTCTCCCTCCCTGGTGTCCCCCCCCCCACACACACACACTATAATTAGAGAGAACAATCAGATGCTGGCTTGGCTTCCTTTTAGGTTAAACCAGCCAAGCTCTTTCCATCTCCCCTTGTAAGATCGGCCCTTTGTTCCCCTGACCATCCTAGCACCCTTCTCAACACCTGTTCCAGTTGGAATTCCTCTTTCTGGAACATGGGTGACGGGAATTGGAGGTTTTTGCAGTGGCATTAATGCCTAACTATCCCTACTGGAAATAGAGCCTGGTACATCGCCTGGTACAACCTCCGATCGCCTTGTGGTTTTTCCACGGCCACGTGGGAGCAGCAGCTCATGGTCATCCTGCCACCGGCCAACCTGTTTGGACATGGCTGATGCTTGCCCCTCCCCCTGCCCTGAATTCAGCTGACATTTGCCACTCTCCATGGCAGCCTCAGACCCAGAGATAAGCAGGATCATTGGGGGGAGAAACTGCGACTTTGGCTCGCGGCCCTACCAGGTGGCTCTCCTGAGGAACAGACGTGTCATCTGTGGTGGGAGCCTGATAGCCCGGAAGTGGGTGCTGACTGCTGCGCACTGCGGCAGACGAGGGATCAGGTAAGTCAGTGCAGGGGTGGAGGGAGAGAGGGTGATGCCTGGGAATAACCCACATCCCCAGCCCTTATCTTCGCTCTTCGTGTTCCCTATCCATGCCCAGGTCTCCCTCTGCATCCCTGAATCCGCAGCCCCATCCTCCTCCCTTTTTTCCCAGCCCACAAATCGTTTTTGTCGCTCTTCTCTGCACCCTCTGCGGTTTTCCAGCATGCTCGTTCAGATGTGCCCACCCCAGCACGGACGCAGCACGCCAGCATCGGTCTCCCCAGCGGCGTGTGCAGAGGGAAACCCACCTCCACGCTCACCAGCGTTAGGCCTTGTAGCATCCCACCGGCAGCTCATGTGCAGGTGCTTTAGGAGCTGATGGAATGGAGCAGAGCTCCGGGAAATATTTTCCCTTGACTCCAACCTGATGCTGCTGGTTTCAGGGGGTCCATTGGGCCCTATGGCTGAAGCCAGGAGCTCTGATCCGTGGTGCACCCTACGGGGCTGAAGCCCTGAGTCCCGGGGCCTCCCAGAGCGGTGAAGCTACAAGCCCTGGCGACCCAGCGGGGCTAAAGCCCAAGTGCACCCATCCCACAGCGGAAGCCTGGAGCCCCGAATGGAGGGGGGCTGTGGGGACCTCCAGGAATTTAAGCCCTGGAACAAACACCTGTCATTCCACAGAAGGGGAGAGCTTGAAAAACTGAAAGCAATTCAAGCTGCTTTTTTAGAGCTCTAAGAAGAAAAGGAGGACTTGTGGCACCTTAGAGACTAACCAATTTATTTGAGCATAAGCTTTCGTTACAGCTCACTTCATCGGATGCAAGCTCTGTAAGCTCTTTAGAGCGCTGTAATTCTGCAGGTCCTGTGGATAGATCTGTCCTTCCCCTCCCCTCCTTTTCTCCTAACTCTCTTTGGCTATTACGATGAAGCTGGTATCTTTGTTGTATTTGGAAAAACTGATTAAAACGTATAAATAATACGTTAAAAATCGCAATGTCTCGTGTTGGCATTTTTGAAACTTCGATTTTTCCATTCGCAACTTTTTCTTTCAAAGTGCCCTGTTAGTTTATTTTCAGAAATATTTTGCGACAGCTGAAACAAACTATTGCCGCCCCATTTTTCGATTCGCTGGAAAGCACAAAACTCTTAGACCCAGATTTGAAATTCTCAGTGCTCCTGCACGTCGGTTTAATTTGGCATGAGCGGGCCACAGTGACCCAGGACAAGGGAAAAATAACTGAATTAAGTTGGTCCCATAAGTGGTTGAGGAGATAGCCAGTGTGAAAAATTTCAGGGGTGGGGTATATTTGCATATATAAGACAAAGCCCCTAATATTGGGACAATGCTGATATTATTGGGATGTCTGGTCACCCTACCCAAAAGCCAAGGAGAAGGAATTCATGATTTTGGTGAAAACTGCAGCTTTGATAACACCAAAGTGTCTCACAAATTAAGGGCAAAGTCATCAAATTGTTCATTTCAGCTGTGTAAAACCAGGTGTAAGAAACAATAATGTCAGCAAAATGTGCTGTGTACATGTGGCATGAGAACAAAGCATGAGATGTACAGGAACTGGGCCTGAAAATAACCAGGCCAACCATAAAGAGCATGATATCATGTAAAATGGAGGACGCATGCATCAGAATAGAGTTAAACTTGTATGTAAAGTAACCAATACTTGTATTCTTCAGATCTGTGGTATGCCCCATAGCCACCCCTTACAAGTGACTCTGATCAATTCTGCGGAGTGTATGCCAAGAAAAACATGAGATCAGACGAGATTGGAGTCGAACTGAGTTCTTGGAGAACTAAGAAGATGAGGTCTCGGAAGCTACTCCAGCATCGAAAATCCATTATTGGCCCAATTCTAGTTGCTTGCCCGCTATGATCTTTGAATAGCTGCCCATTGATCTCTTCCTTTGTCCTCTCTCCATGCAGCTCCCTGCGGGTGCATCTGGGGGATTATAATGTAAGGGTGAAAGAACCCACAGAACAGATACGAAGAATCCACAACTTCTTTGTGCACCCCGAATATAACTTCTTGCCTTTTGACAACGACTTCATGCTTCTGGAGCTGGATGAGCCCGCTCAACTTAACCGCTATGTGAACACGATCAAGTTGGCTACCCGTTGTCCCTTTCCTGGAACACGATGCAGTGTGTCGGGATGGGGCACCATCAAGTCCCCCCAAAGTATGGCGTGCTGAGTGTAGAGGGAGGGGTTGAGGTTGGGCTCAGCTTGGGGAGGGGGTGGAAGCTCTTTAAGGAGACCTTGTTAATGGGCTCACAAGGGTCTTTGGCTTCTCCTGGGGGAAAATTTTCATCCAAAATGATTTTTAGTGGACAACTCAAGTTCGACAACACCAAAGTGTCCCATAAATTCGGGGCATTTTTATTCATTTCAGAAAAAAAATTCAGAAAAAAGTGAAAAATTTGCATTTTGAAAACACAGGAAGACAGTGGCTTGATTTTTGTTCTATTTGAAACATTTCCTTTTGAAATTTCCTTTCCTTTTGTATTCAAAACAATTTTAAAACGTTACAGATGTGCTTCAAATCACAATGAAATATTATAATATGACATGAAATACTGGATCTAAATGAAACAATTTGTTTTTTTGGCTTTTCCGTTCATCAAAAATTTCCTTTTTCGGAAAATGAACGTGGCCAGATCCCAGCTGGTGGAAATCGGCCGTCGCGCCATTGGAGTCAATGGGCCAGATCCCAGCTGGGGTCAGTTGGCTCTAGCTCCTTTGGAGTCACTGGATCTATGCCAGTTTATACCAGTTGAGGGTCTTACACCAAATTTTCCTCTCTTGCACCTTGTTCCCTGCTCATGAGCTCCTGTTTTTCTGTCATTGCCCAGGGCAGTTCCCAGCCATCCTGCAGTGTGCAGATCTCTATAGCGTCAGCCAGGCCAGGTGCCAGGACGTTTACTGGGGCCTGATCACGGAGAACATGTTCTGTGCTGGTGTGGAACAGGGCGGCATAAGCACGTGCAAGGTAAGGGGGCATCCCGGAGAGAGGGGTCGGTGCCGGGTGTCGGAGCTCACACAGCTCAATACTCTTTATCCCCTATGACCTGCAAACCCTTCTCAGCCTGCTCCTGAGGGGCCGTTGTCACTCAGGCTCTGGCCCCAGCCAGCCTTCGTGCCCCGTGGAAGAGCAGCCGATCTGCCCTCCAGCCGCACAGAGCCCTAAGGCCCAGTCCCTGGACCTGTCTGATCCCCAGCGCAGGTGCAGCCAACCGAACCCATTTCTGCTCTTTAAACCCTTCCTATCTGTGTGTCCCTGCCGCCCCCTGCTGGAAGGGATGAGCTCTGTGCATGTGTGTGTTCTTGTGTCTGTGTGACCCTGCTTCCCCCTGCTGGAGGGGATGGGCCCTCCTCTGGGGGGGTGTGCACACGGGGGGGCATGGCTGTGTTTTGCTGATGGCTTTGCATTGTCTTTGCAGGGGGATTCAGGAGGCCCACTGGTCTGCAATGGGCGGCTGCAGGGCGTGGTCTCCTGGGGGAAGTCTGTCTGTGCCCTGCCGGGACAGCCCAGAGTCTTTGCCAATGTCTGCAAAGCTGCCCAGTGGGTGAAGAACACCATAAGGAGGCAGTGCGCCAGATTGGACTGACAGCTCACAGCACGTCCCGCCTGCCGCAATAACCCACCAAACATACGCCCCAGCCACGCCTCTCCTCATCTCACGGCGGCACCTGGGGGTTGCGGAATGGGGTGGGGGGAGCTGGCCTGGGTGGGATTGGGGTGGTGGAGCTGCGGTTGGGCCAGGCCTGACAAAATCCTGGGACTGGGTTAAAAATGCACAGCTGGTTTGAAAAGCATGAATGAGCCTGAAGATTGTGAGATTGCTTTAAAACCTCATGAATCAGCCTGATGTTCACAGGATTGTTTCAAAAGTCAAGAGATTGGCTCTAAAAATCATGAGATTGGATTAAAAATTATGAGCCTGGTTTTAAAATGCCCTAAATCGCGCCCAGGTCTTTGTTCTGGTCTCTTGCATTGACGGGGGTGGCGTACGCGGCTATAACTGCTCTGACGTCACCAAGTCTGACGTCCCATGGAGTTCAAACTTTGTCACACGGTGCTACAGCAACATAGCTACCATGCCTGTCTAAATGTACCAAATGCTGCCTCAGCACAGGGCATGGATTTCACTAGATGCTCTTTCAAGGTGCCTTCCATCCCTACATTTCTATCACTTTATGGGTAGCACAAAATAGAGAGAGATGGGTAGGTGAGTGGATGGATGAGTGGGTAGGTTAACATGAAATCATGAGAAAATGAGAACAGCCAGACTGAGTCAAACCCAAGGTCCATCTAGCCCAGTATCCTGTCTTCCGACAGTGGCCACTGCCAGGTGCCCCAGAGGGAATGAACAGAACAGGGAGTCATCAAGGAATCCATCCCAGGTCACCCATTCCCAGCTTCTGGCAAACAGAGGCTAGGGACACCATCCCTGCCTATCCTGGTTAATAGCCATTGATGGACCTATCCTCTGTGAATTTAACTAGCTCTTTTATGGACACTGTTATAGTCTTGGCCTTCACAACATCCTCTGGCAAGGAGTTCCACAGACTGACTGCACATTGTGTGAAGAAATACTTCCTTGTGTTTGATTTAAACCTGCTGCCTATTAATTTCATTGGGTGACCCCTAGTTCTTGAGTTATGAGAAGGAGTAAATAATGCTTCCTTATTTATGGATGGATAGATAGATCCTGCATGGACATGTGGAAATGGCTAGGTGACACTGGAGGTCTTTTCCATCCCTACATGTCTATGATTCTATTGACTATATAGAATATTAAATATATTATTAAAATTAGTATTCAATGTCACATAAAGGTCTAGAAGAAATCAATCAAAATAATCAAGTTGAAACAAAATTTTGGAACCTTATTCAAATAAATCGTTTTCACATCATCAAAACAGATTTTTCCCATCCAAAATATCAAAATTGACACAGAGAATTGGGCAGAAAATGGATTTTTCTCTTCGCTGGCAATTTTGGGAAAAAAATCATTTGGGATCAACCAAAACATTTTGTTTGATCTGAAACTAAACGTTTCATTTGGACATTCAGCATTTTTAAACATTTTTTTTTTCAAATTAAAAGTTAAAGGAAATGTATAAACAGTCATTTGGAAGTGAAAATTGGGAACTGTTTTGTTCGGAAATTTTAGAAACAAAATGTTTTGATTTTTTTGGATTTTTTGGGGGTGTGTGTGTTATTTTTTGATGGAAACAATTCAGCAAAATTGACACGTTCATCTTCTATAAAATGATAGTCAGTTATTACTGGTGGGTCCACCAGTGGCCAATAAGAGCAGCCCAGATTATTGAGTCGGGCTGCCACACATTCTTTCCTCTTTTCCCGTTTCTCTGTTTCCTGATGTCTTACTTGGGTCTTGAAACGCTGGGATCCTTCCCACAAGGTCCTTCTCCATTTTAGTGGGTGGAGGGTTTGGGTTTCCCATATGTCCTCAACGACAGAGCAGGCAAACAGAGAGACAGTTTCTCTCAATGGCTGAGAAGACAGATGAAGGCTACAGAAGGATGGCGATCTCTTGGTTTCCTGGTGTTTGGATGAAGACCCTCATCCTGCCAAGCACTGTGTGGACACTGGTGTGGAACGGCATTTCCACACAGGGTCCCTGGGGTGGGGGGGGCGGGGGGCTATGGGGCTATGGGGCTATGCCCTCCCACTTTTTACTGGCCGTAAGGGTGAGCAACAATGGTGAGCAACAGAGAGGAATGAGAGAGTGTTGGGATTTATGGGGGGAAGAGGTGGTGCGAAGGCGAGGCCTCAGGGGGAAGGAGCAGGACTAGGCCGGGAGATTGGGGGAAGGGGTGGTAAGCGGGCGGGAGATCAGGGGAAGGGGCGGCACGGGGAAGGGGCCTCAGGTGGAAGGGGAGGCGCAAGGGCGGGGCCACTGTTGAGACATGGGTGGCCCCCACTTTTAGGGAGCTTCTGTTGCCCCAGTCTCCACATTAAAAGAAATCGCGTATGTCGTCAGATGTTCGGCTGTGTGGGTGTGTTCTCTCTGCGTGCTGCACTGGCTCTGGCCAGATAGCCCATAAAGCAGGCTCCGATCAAACTTCCCAGTGAGACCACAAGACTCGGTTTTCAGCGAACGCGCCCAGCCAGCTTTATTGTCGACAAAGCATGGTAACAGCACCTGGCAGACTCTATGAGGATACTAAGACGTGTATGCCCTTGACAATGGATGCAGCTCAGTCAGTGGTAGGACCTTCCACTGCCCCCTTGGCTGGCCAAAGACACTGCCTCTGAGATACATCTTTATACACAGATACAAACAAAAAACTTATTGCCCCGACGTATCAGGGTGCCACCCTCTGATGTATTAGGGCGCCAACCATTACCTTGTACATGTTGGTTTGATCAAAACATCTCGATCCATCATGCTGTCATCCTGACCTTATCCTTCAGATGGATCAGGGTATTCTTGTTATCTTTGGAGAATGTGTTTGGTATAAAGGTGTTCTGGGATCATCTTTCTGGCATGTGTTTGCGGATATTTTCTTGCGCCTAACATTACTTAGGAATGTGTCTTTTTGCAATATCAGCCCTGGTCTTGCCAGACTCTGTGAGCGGGGCCTGCCTCTTGCTCACAGCTTAACATTGCTTTATATCAGTAAAGCTCTGACTACTTTAGCCCAGGTCTCAGGCCTCATACCAGGCCTCTGATACATGGGCTTATGTTTCAGGCCCTCCTCTTACTACAGCACACTGCTGTAGTATTCCACATTCACATCCATGTCCAAGTCCTGTGGTGATCGGTGAAGGGACAGCGATGACCAGAAGCTCCTAGTCAGTGACCAGCACACAGGCTGCGGCTGTCAGAGGGCCATTTTTGCATTTGAATGGAGGCAGGCCTGCAACTCAGCAGCCGGAAAGCAACTGAGGTGCTGTTTTTACGGCCCACTCCGCTCCCCTGCATGAGCAGGACGTGGGCAGTCTGACCTAGAGCTCAAAGCAGGAGTTGGGAAATCAGGCCAGGCTACGTATCGGGAGGTCAGAGTCCGAGGCAGGCCCAAGAGCAAACCCAGAGTCGAGTGTTGGGAGGCAGGTTCTGGTTACCAGGAGATCAGAGGTAGGAGCCAAACTTGAGAGCAGAACCAGGGATCAATACCCAGAGTTACGCCGGGTCAGGATACCAGAAAGAGGATGAGGGTGAGGAAGAGGAAGGCACACACTCCACAGCAGGGTGGAAGGTTCAGGGAGTCACTTTCGGCAATGGAGAAGGTGCCGTTCCAAGGGCTAAATCCTGCTGGGTTCCCCTGCAGAGGACAGAGGTGGGAACAAAGGCTGGCTTGCTTCCACAGCTCCCCAGGATCCAACCTACTGAAGCCAGGTGTTTGAGGGCAGAGAGAGTCGCCTAGATGCCGATATGTGGGGCAGCTCCCCAGATACAGCAATCACGTTGACTCACAGAGACAGCCTATTTCTCTGGCATATAAAGTGGCCCATCCTGGAGGATTCTTAGTTTTGTCCAAGACATAACCGCTGGAGCTTGTCCTACTCCCGAGGGCCCCCCACCAGGAGCTCCAGGTGAAGCAGGGCCAGTCCAGTCCCTGTGTTTGGGATGCCTGGCTGGGGGCATCAGGGCGCTGGGGTGGAAAGGAGATAGCTGTGGTTTGGGGAGCAACATAGGGTGGTGGCTTGGGGCATCTTGCAGTTATTGGGGTGATTATGGGCTGCCAGTGGGATCACTCTGTTTTTGGGGTATTAATGGGATGAAATGGGGGCTCTGTTTTGTTATTGGAGGTGATTATGAGGTATGAGGGGGCATTGCTCTATTATTGGGATGATTATGGGGTGTGACAGGGCATTGCTCTTTATTGGGTGTGACTATCATAGAATCATAGAATATCAGACTTGGAAGGGACCTCAGGAGATCATCTAGTCCAAACCCCTGCTCAAACAAAGCAGGACCAATCCCCAATTTTTTTTGCCCCAGATCCCTAAATGGCCCCCTCAAGGACTGAAGTCACAACCCTGGGTTTAGCAGGCCAATGCTCAAACCACTGAGCTATCCCTCCCCCAAATGGTATATGAGGGGGCATTTCTCTGTTATTGGGATAATTATGGGATATGAGGGGCATTGCTGTGTTATTGGGGGTGATTATGGGGTACAAGAGGGCATTGCTCTTTATTGGGGGTGATTATGGGTTACGAGGGGGCATTGCTCTGTTATTGGGGTGATTGTGGGGTGCAACACGGCATTTATCTGTTATTTGGGATGATTATGGTGTCCTAAGGTGCATTGCTCTGTTATTGGGGGGATTATGGGGTGGAATGAGGCACTCAGTGAAGATGGATGGCTTGGCAGTGTGGCTGCTCAGCTGGCACTTGGAAGACATGGCTTCTAATCTCTGGTCTGCTGCTGCATCCCTGTCGGACCTTGGCCCAATCGCTTAGCCTCTCTGTGCCTCAGTTTCTCACTCTCTACAATGGGGATCATAGCACTGCCTGGCTTCACCTGTGGGGATAAATAAGGTAAAAATTGGGAGGTGCTCGGATACTACTGTAATGGGGGCCAGATACCACCTGAGATCTATTAATTTCTCTGTTATTAAGCTGGTCGTGGGC